GGAGAGTAGCCAGGATTTTCCAGGTGTGCGCCCAATTCTCAAAACTTACCCTAACTTCTTACTCAGTTCTCTCGTAACGTTTCCACATTACATTTGCTAATTCTGTTAACTAAGTGAGGTTATGGTGGATGAAATGGCACTTGCAATCGGTGAGAGAATTAAGTTAGACACTTGGCCCTCAAGGACGGCTCTCACGTTTTGCTGGTACTTTCTACCTTAGAAGGGAAAAGTGAAGCTTTACCTTTCCCACTTCGTGTAAACAATGTCGTTCGGCTGATCAAACTACTTTTAGAAAACAACAAACTACCCAACTTTAATTTTTAATGAAGGTATAAGGGTAGGAATCCAAATTTTTTTCAAATGTTGTTCAAAATGTACGCCATGCAAATGGAGTGTTTCACTGATTTTAACACGAAGATTGTGAAGCAATGTCTAGTGAGTACGGGGGGTAATGCTCCATCGTAAAAAAATTGACTTTGAAAAGAAAAATTTTTTATAATAGGAGTACACATTTTTAGTAATTTTATCGAGTTATAAAAAAATCTCAAATTTGTTTCTTCTTGAATGTGTTATACTCTCATCCAGTTTGAGTGTTTTCAGTCTTTCCGATATGCCAGTAGCAGACTGGAAGTTACCGTAAATGATCGATTAAGCGCCACGACGCCTATTTCATTTTCCATGTTAAAAGTGCGGCGCTTATTAGGGAAGGGCGCTTATTTCAGCTGCGAGTATAGCCTGCGTAGCTGGCGTTATTGTGTAGTAGTCGAGTGAGATTTGGCGGCGGAGCCGTTGTAATATAGTCGAGTGAGATTTGACGGCGGAGCCGTCACGAGCGGCGAAGCCGCCAGAAATACCGCCTGTCAGAAAACCATGATTTTTCGAATGCCGCCCACTTTTGTTACCAGAGAAACCTGCAATATATATGAAACTTCCGATTATTTTCTAGCCTGCGTGGCAGGCGTTTGAAAGGGAAGGGAAAGGGAGTTTTAGGTGCGAGAGAAACGCGAGGGACGCGCGAGGAGGGAGGTTTCCCTCCCTCCCTCCTCGCACGCTCCTCGCGCCCCCAACCCCCTTTTCCTTCCCTTTCAAACGCCTGCCACGCAGGCTAATTATTTTCGCGCGAGACAGTTTAGAAATAAGCGTTGACAGGCTAAACACGACTCCTAAGCTCGTGATAATGTGAAACGTGACCTTGTGAGTTTGCTTGAACAGAGTTTTTTTTTTTTATTTTCTCGGCTCTCTCGCGAAGGTTACTAGCACTAAACAGTGCATGTATCATTCTAAACTTTGACTGAGTAAATCTTTTTTTGCCACACTAGGCTTAACATTAAAAGGTCATGAAGCTGGTTTGTTACATGCATACTGAGTAACCATTTTCGGTGGTTTATTTTTCTGTAGGTGTTCCTGATAGGATTTGATCTCACATGCAGTTCTAAAGTGTTTTAATTTTCTTTCACCTTCGTTTCTTACGGCTAAATAAAGACAATTCCAGCGCTGTGAAGTTTAAAGACGCCATGTCGGCAATTTGGTAATCAATTATGCTCTTTTTAAAGGGGAAACCACAATCACGTACGTCTTAGCCTGCGTAGCAAGCGTTTTCGTTTAGTTTCGGAGCAAAAAAAAACCGAGGAATTGGATTTTCAGTTTTGACCGCGCGAGAAATGAAACGAGAGCCAAAAAATGACGAGGGGGAGGTGGAGGGGAAGGAGGAGGAGGGGCTCTTTTACTTTCGCCATTTTTCGCGCGGTCTTCGACTCTTGTTCCTCTTTCTTTGCTCCTAAACCGCACAGAAACGCTTGCTACGCAGGCTACTTACGTCTTTTCCAGTTTGCCATCTGCTCCCTTAATTTGTAAAATATGCGAAGGATCATCTAACATGATTGACATATGTATGGCCCTCGACCAATCCGTTTCTCCGCACACTGGTGCGCGGACTATTCAAAATACCTGGGTTTTCTGGCAGGCTGCATTTCAACCGCCTCGTCCCTACTCCATTTTTTTGGAACACGGCTCCGCCGCCAAAACTTTAATCTCGCACCCACACAATACCGCCAGCTACGCAGATACAGAGTGAGATCTGGGTACGAGATCACGCAGGCTACTGCGGGTAAAACAGTAAGGGGAATATAGAGAGAACAGAGTTCGGCACGAAAAAGGACAAATATGCACACCTCGGTGTTATATGAACCTGGTTTCGAAAGTTCCCGTACATTAACACTTTAGAACTCACGATGTCTTGATGTCTTTTTGTATCAAGCGTCGTAACAAGTCTAACAAAGGTGGGGCGTTTATTTGCTAATCAAATCAGCGCTGCGGCGCTTATTCCGTAGAGGCGTTTATTCGAGTAGCGGCGCTAAATCGATCATTTAAGGTAACTGCGCATTTGCTTGGAAAAAAGGAAAAAATGAAAGATTTATTTTGCCACTTGGGAAGTTAACCTTAATTTCATAGGTCCGTTCGTGTCAAACAGGTAACATAGTGCTTTCGTCAAGGGAAAAATTGGAAAGTTTTGCTCTATTTTCCCTTGGCTCGGTGCGTTGAGTGATATATGCCTCTTTGGTCTTTATGAGAGCACGGCTGAAGTCATCATAGCTTTTCTCTTAAATATATAGAAAAATAATCGTCGCTTATCTATTTTTAGAACACTGTCCAGTAAATTAAGATTTTTTTTAGCCAGGGAGAAGATCGTTTTTTGTTAACCTTCATGGATGTTTTTTTACGCATGTACGGGCCTGAGGAAATGTTACCTGAAAAGAAGCTACGATCCTAAAATTCTACCCTCGAATCTTTTCCCTAGCCATAAGTTCTTCCCTCAAGGAATTTTTCTTTGTTTCACATAATGATTGGTCTTGCATGCTTATCGATTTTTGAGAGCCTAGTCCTGTGCCGTGTTCTGATGTGATCTACTTTATGTCGCTTTCCCCCGATCTAACAGCTCCTTACTAAACAAAAACGGTATAAATTGTGTCTGTACGGAGAACTAGCAAATATTTTTTTCGGCGTTACGCACGCTGTTCCTAATTCCCCTTGTCCCCGTTTTAGGCGCTTTCATGTGCATAGGTTAAATTTTTTTTTCATAAGCCCACTATGCTTATAGTCGCGCATTCTGACGTCATTTTTCCTTAAAAAAAAAATAAGTTTATTGAAAAAAGAGTGAAGTAAAGGTGTCATGAGGCGTTTGAGATTTTATGAAATATTTGACGCGGTCCTTTTTTTACGGCTTCTGTCCGTTGGTGAAATTGCTACTTTGGTTTTCTTGGATTAGACTACGAGTAGTCCCCCATTTTTCCTCAGGGATAGTAGAGCGAGCGAAACATGAGCGCGCGTGAAAATCACCCCACGCGAGAAAAGGTGACATGTGTCACGTGTGGGGTGATTTTCACGCACGCTCGCGTTTCGCTTGCTCTACTATCCCTGAGGAAAAATGGGGCACTACTCGTAGTCTATCTTGGATGGGAAAGGGCGGGCTCTTTCTAAACGTGGCGTTGTTTTGTAGGACCTCAGTATTCAGAACAGAATCAGTCGATGGCAAACAATGAAAAGACTTTTATGTGGTAAGTTACAATGATGAACCTTGCCTTGAGAAGGTCGTATTTTTGAACGTACCTTCAGTGTTGGTCTGAAATTTTTTTGTTATGGATGGGGGTGGGGGTGGGGAATGGGGGGAGTCACGTGTTGTTTACGAGACATTAAAGTAATGGAAACTGCTAAACAGTCTTCAATATACAAATCAAAATAGTTGCAAATGCTTAAGGGAGGCACTGTCTAACTATAAAATGATTAGAAGGGCAATATTTGGAAAGGTGCATGGTCATGGAGTTAAGGAGATTTGGCTAATCAGCCAATTTCCCTCCAAACATACTGGCGTGGCGAGTGGCGCCAAGATTGTGTTCGCTCGCCCCGTGCTGGCTCGACTTTTCGGATACGGTTATGGAGTTATAAACAATGAGTTCATCATCTATATAGCCTGCTCGCCCCAAAGTGATTGCATTTCGTTTTTCAGAGACCTATCAGTTACTTTTTGACCCTCTCGAATCAGAATTTATGTCCGTGATGTAATACTAATGGTGAAATCAGTCTACAAGGAGAGTCGTGAAAAACACCGACACTTTAGCCTTTACGTTCAAAACATTTCTGGCTATCGGGAAAAAAAGAAGGAGCTTAAACTACCAAAATAAAATGTCATTTCAAATTTCACTTTGTGACCGTTCATAAATTATTGTGAATCAGACCGAATGAAAGTTCACTCAAAGAGGGGGGACAGGGGGGGAGGGGGGAATTCTTAACAGTTCTAGTTTGCTAAAAAATTAAAAGTTACGAGAAAATACTGGGCGAACTGCAGAATAAACGCAAGAAGGAGAAAGAAATGAAAAAACAACTTTCTGTTCAAAGTCGGGTGAAACGTTACATGTAAGGTTGTTAATTTCACTTCCGTTCAGCGTGCAGTTCCTTGTCCTCCTAAAAATAGCTTCGTCTCACACCGATCATTCCATGTCATATTTTCGTATAGTTTTATGTATTCAAGGCGCATTCGTCTTGCAAACTGTTCGAAATCTTGCAAGAGTTGATGCCTGATTTTTGTCTCGTCTGCCACGGGTGTTGGGATAAACTTGAGACCCTTTGATATCACGCTGACTTGGTTGTCAGTAAGTTGGTGGCTTAAAAAATTTTTCATTAGGCTCCCTTTGTGTGGTTTGGCGCCTGTGTGAGGCGTTTTTCTGGTGCATTCTACGCCTTTGGTTTCTCGATAGGCAATTGCTCTTAAAATGGTTTGTGGTGGTTGCTGATGGTTCAGAGAATACAATGTTGGCTATAGCCCGGGGCTAAAGTACAGACTGTAATGTACAAGCAGTAACTTTCCACACGTTTATTTGTGCTAATTACATGTGCTGACACAATATTCGTGAGGTCAATGATCCTTTTCTCCAATTCGGCTAGTTTTACATTGTCGTTGTTTACAATGTTTGACGCCGATTGCGACTCAGAACGACTCTGACTATTTACATGAGTACGTCTTCGAGACGAAAGTGTAGGCCTAGACTCAAGTTTGTTTCTAAGCAGTTGTCGAGCCTTCGTTTATGGAAGTGCGTGAGGGCGTTAACAAGTGCCTGTTCGGCAGTTTTTTGCCCCGGGTTTTTTGCTCGCTTAATATCCTTGATTTCTTTTTGGAAAGTACTATCGGGCGCAATATTCGCCTTAGCAGAGTACTGCAATGATTTCGGACATGTCCGATTGTTCAAATGTCTTTCCAGTTTGGGGATAGAATCTTCTGTTTTGGCAATTTTTGCCTCCTTTGACTGATGGTCGACATATTTTCGTTTAATCCCTCTATTTTCTGGCTGCTTCTGGTCTGGCGGGTTGTTCTCGTTGGTGTTACGAGCTGGTGGTCTGGGTTGCGATGGTGGAGGTGAATTTTCGTAAGCATCATTTTGTTCTTCGGTGTCCGTTGGAGGACAGTAAGAAGGTGTTCTTGGTGCTGCGTAATCGACATCCCCATCACCAGATGAATTTGGCCCGAGATATAGCAATAAGTCGTTGTCTGACATCATAGTTGCTTCAGCAGGACCGCTCGGTTTCGATTCTTCACGAATCCCTTCAGCTGCTGTTTGAGGCATGACAACTTAAAGTTTCTCAATTCCGTTCCCGCTCGAATAGCTGTTTGGTGATCTTTTTATACCGGCTACGGTATCGAGAACATTAATCAAGAAAAGATCTGTGCCTCCTCGACAACGACAACGTTGCCTGCTGTAACCGAAGTAATAATTATGACATGTGCGAGGAATGGGATTTAGTCGGAATATGAAGGCAAAATCTTGTCAGGATATTTACGCTAAGTATGTTAACGACTTGTTCACGCTCTATGCCAGTTCTTTCTACACCTGGGGGAAGGGGAGGGGATAATCCCTATAATGGCCTATACGGGGAGGCTTCGGAGAAAAGGGTATCTTTTACAGGCTTCAGGTATATGAAAGGGTAGGGATTTCACTAGTTGAAGTATATTAATAAAGGGGAGGGAAATCTGTCATTTGGGTCTGTGAAGGGACCCAGAAGGGCTAACAGGTGAATTTTATGGCTTTATAAAGTCGAGAAAACGGTTCCATTTTGTGATTGATTCCTACTGAATTGACAGTGCATTTACAGCAGTTAAAATATGTTAAAAGGGATGCAAAGTTCTAATCAAGGTATGTCAGCAAGGAGTATTTCTCAATAGAAGGTGCACGAAAGGGGTAACTAAAAGAGGTATATCAGGGATTAGGCCTCGGGGCAGAACCTCCCGGTATAAAATTTGTCGGGTACCCCCCGTTTTTCACACGAGGTGTTTTTTTTCTTTTTTGTAGTGATGACCTGATAAGCTATCTTGGTGTAAGTGACGAAATTGCCTTGCCATGGGGAGTGGAGCTAATTTAGTTTTCTACATTCCAGCTCGCTCCTAAACCAGAAATGCTTAACTGACGGACGCAACTCTATAAAAAACGCAAAAAGAAACCTAAAAAGAAAACTAAACGCGCAGTATGATGCCCCACTTCAGTAAATTACCAAACTCCTCCCCCCCACCGCCAATAAGCACTCCCTTCTCTGTTACATGTACGTGTCCCGTCTCTATTAAGTCACCCCCTCAAAGGTACTTGAGGGGATTTACGGTATTATATAAGCATGGAAATTATTTCCTGCCTATGCTATCTGTTGCAACGGATGGCAACGGTGGGCATGAGTGAGTGGCTAACTATCCTGAGTTTTTAACCTATGCCTGCAAAAAAATCACCCCAAAATTATTCTGTTCCCAAATGAAAATTGTTTGATAAATTTGTCAACTGAAGCATTTTGTGTAAGGGTAAATACACTGCATAGGATTGGCCCAAAACAGCAATATCCTCGTGACATAGACCCTTTAACACCCTTTAAAACAAATTCACCATGCTTAAGCCTACCCGTCGCCTGACAACATATCCAATTATCCGTCCCTAAATCTATTTAAAACGATTGATCAAGTGGAACAAGTGTCGGGTCTCGAAAATTTTTGACGGTGTAAAGTGACAAGATTTCGAAACTCCACGTGCCTCTCTTAAACTACCTTTATTACAAGACTTGTATGTGATTGGGTTTAAATTTTTCCGTAGTGATTTTCATTTTTGGGGGGTATGCGGGTCTTCGATGATGCGGTTTTGAAGATTGGAGTTAAAATTTCAACCAAAGATGAGTAGGACTTAGGGATCTTGACAACAGATTAAATTTTAAAGTACTTAGCGGACACACGTGTTTGAGAGCGACCCCCAACAGCTTCGCACTTAAATTTTATTAATTTTACAGACACCCTACCTCTACCATTAACTGTTTGCCAGATCACTTGGTCTGATTACCTGTTTTTTTGTTTTTAGTTTTTAGACCGAAGAGGATGGGATAAATAAAAAAATGGAGTGCACACTGGGTGTATATGTGAGATCACAAAAAGTGTCCAAAGAAACTGACAGAAAAAAACATATTTTAAAAAATCGGTTTTTCAGATCTGGGAACATACTGTGCGCGAAAGAGGGAATCGGTCCAAGAAATAAGTTTAAATTCCAAGACCTGGTTAAAGCCCCTTGTAGGACAGACGATAATTATTTGAGGTACCGTTCTACACGAATTCAGCCTATGAAATGCCTGGCACTTACGTGGGAACGTGCAACGCAGCTGCATGTCCTGCACTTGGACGTTCCATCACCCAAAACGAACCTTTCACAGCCGCCAAATCTGTAAGGCGGTTGGTTGATACAACCTCCTCGAAAAACGCCCTCTCTATCTCGTTCTGCCATGATCAATAGAACTGAATGTCCCCGGCCTTAAATGAAAAATCCTTAAATAACTGTGACCGAGCGAGCCCAGGATTTATGAGCCCGCGAGACTGAGCATTCCGACCCATTGACCCTTGTTTTCACCAAAAAAACCCACCAAAACTACAATCTGGTTGAGGCTATTATTTCCCCATGAGAGGGGCATTTTACCCACTTAACCTGTCACGTGGGTAGATATCTATCTCATTATACTATTTTAGAAATCAGAAACGCCATTTGGGAAATCAAACGACCTGATTTTGGAAATCAAACATTTGCTTAAGATATCGATTGGGAAAAGATTAAAAATCAAAAACGCATTTCAGAGAGCATACTCAACAAACTTGGAAAACATAAGCGTTCATTTAGTAATAGAAATCGAGAAATTTTGGAAATCAAACTCGAGTGTCATTTGAGAAATCAAACGCGATAAATTTTAGAAATCAAAAGTGTCATTTGAGAAATCAAACGCGACAAATTTTGGAAATCAAAAATGTTCTCTTGAGAAATCAAACGCGATAAATTTTGGAAATCAAAAGTGTCATTTGAGAAATCAAACGCGACAAATTTTGGAAATCAAAAGTGTAGTATTTGAGAAATCAAACGCGATAAATTTTGGAAATCAAAAGTGTCATTTGAGAAATCAAACACGTCAAATTTTAGAAATCAAACGCCTCAAATTTTGGAAATCAAAAATGCATTTGAGAAATCAAACGCTAAAAACTTTGGAAATCAAAATTGTTATTGGAGAAATCAAACGCGACAAATTTATAATCAAAATAACACAATAAAAACCAAAAGGATTTTTCCTTTTAATCATAGACAAGATATCAAAATCATAGAAAACAAGAAAAGAATCAGACATAGTAAATTTTATTTGTGATACTCCTCGAACACCGTATTTATATCTTACGCTGGAAAGATCCTCTGTACATAGAAGCAAAGGTAGGTTCCTGTTATAACACGTGTAATATCGAATGCCATTTGCGTAAAGGCGCAGTGCACGGTTTGTTTTTCTAGCCTTTTGATATAAAAATTGACAAAGTTTGCGTTATCTTTGCCTAAGAAAATAGGTAATTTGTAGCTCTTTACAGCGAAATACTACAGAGAAAATTGTAACTGTGCACACGAGCGGCTCCAGATTGGTCTGGCAAAGCGAAGAGCGAACTTAATGAGCTACACTGTGAGTAACAAAATTTATAATTTTCATTTTAGCGCACATTTCAAGATTTTCGCAAGAACAGAAGTAAAAGATCACCTTTTTACATTACAAGTGAGGTTCTTTTAAGCGATAGATAGGCTTTAAGAGGCAAGATCAATTTTTTAGAATTTTCTTTTTAAATATCCACCGAATTTTGTTTGGAAGTTTTAGGGGCCAATGCAGGGGCGGATCTAGGATTTTTTTCAGGAGGGGGTGCACTCGTCTCTTGCTATACTTCAACACCAATAAACCACATAGTTTTTTTTTTGGCAGAATACCAGTTGCATTAGAAAACAGCAGGTCATCTCGGGGGGGGGGGGGG